ACTGGTTTATAGGATTCTTTGCCTACAGTGAATTTAGCTTGGGCATCTATTTTGTATACAAATTGCAACCCTCATCTTTTCCCCATCTTTTCTCTATTGATTTGCTTTCCCCTGTGGTGGGGGAGGAGCTCTAGGCAAAGAAATCCCCGCCCCTTGGAAGAGGCAGAACTCAGCACCGAGCCAAAGAAGATAAGTACTGCAGAATGAGAACAGTCAGCAGCTGGATCTGCAAGGAGCAAGGCAGAAGCCCTACACCGAGATTATGAGCTGGGCACTGGGGTTATGCGGTTCCCAGCAGAATCCAGCTGCTGAGCTAGGGGTGAGCAAGAAGGTCCTCTCCTTTCTGGCTGTTGCTCTGCGTGTGTTTGACCTGGGTGGGTAAGCTTAACGTGCACAGAAACCGGACAAACATTGTCCAGGGGACGGGCAAAGCATTCTGCCCCGATCCTCTTCTATGTACACATGCCTGCACACCCACTCGCTGGTAAGAGGGCTCTGTCCATCCGTTCTTTTTCTTGTAAAGCTTTTATTTTTCACTGCATTCCTTCCTAGTTCCTTCCTCAAGTCAGATTTAGTCGGAGGTAAGTAACAGAACAAAAAGCCAGTCTGGGGAACTGTTAAACTTTTCCTTATAGACTGGGTGCAGGAGAGGAGCAAAAAAAAAATAATCAAGAGACTTTGGACTTCTGGCCATTCTTAAACATGCCCTCTGGCTAAGATGGAAAAAGAGGAGGAGTTGCTGGGCCGTGTGTAGTATCCTGGGAGGCAGATCTCATGCTGATCACTGGTCCAGCTGGGATCAAAACAGGAAACAGATGGAAACTGCCACCCCTTTCACAAAAGAGGGACCTAAGAGTTCCTTTGCCTGGGAAAGGCAGGAAAAAAGGTCACAGAAGTCTGGCCATTTAAATTTACAACTTAAATCTACTATGTAGGTCTTATTTGAAGGGACAGTAATGTTCGAGCAATGCCTTTGAACCTTTCTGCTAATATCAATTGTTGGCTTGGTGATTATCACGTTTAGTTAAATCAGTTTAACTGCTTTAATAGGTTTTCAGGATGGAAGCTTGACAGTTACAGAGTACACATTTTGATCTCAGCACTTGTGGTTTTGTGATCTCGTGTTTTTGTAGAGTTGGAATCAGACATGGTGGATGGATCTCCCGGGCTTTACGTCCTGCTTTCAAAGCACTGTGGCAGTTTGGATTCCTTGCATCTATCTTTGGGTTTCTTTTCCCTTCTATTACCTTTACCTTCAGAAAAACTGCAGGGGTTATATCAGGATGTCAGCTCTCTTCAAAGCAAAAATGGTAAGGTTCAAGTCCAGGAGATGGATTACAGCCATAGTGAACCATGTCTGATGGGTGGTGGTCATCGTCATCATTATGGTCTTCTTTTTCATCCTAGAGGGCTCAAGATGGCCAAGACACACACAAGAATAATAAAGCAGTAGAAATCCAATTTAAAATAGTTGCTGAAATCAGACTTGCAATCACATTGAGCTTATCAAATTCGACACCCAAACATTTCTATTCCAAAGACCTGGCTAAAGATGAAATCTTGACTTCCATTCTAAAGATAGGGAAAACGAGAGCACCATTTCTGGGGGAATGCAGAGATTCAGGACACTTAAATATAAATACAGGCTTATAACTTCTTGTTTTCTGAATGAAAAGTTTTCTTTTTCCTGCATGCCCATGAAAACTAGGTTTGAGCATAGACGAGGTTTAAATGTAACTTCTAGCTTGACAATTCTAGCTTGGTCTTCTTCTTGTGTGTTCTAACTCTTTTCCATTTGAGTACCATATATGTGTGGTCATCTGGAAATGAGTCTGGAAGATTTGGGACATGCAAATTAATAATAACAACTATATAGTAACGCTGGAATCTCAGTTTGATCTCAGTGGCAAATTTCTCTGACCATGCTCTTTTCCTTTTCTTTAGATTCTTGGCTTTGCCTTGTTAGTGCTACACATCTCAACCATCTCGTACCTTCTTTGGGAAGCAAACCAAGGGGTTTCGCAGGCCCTCGGACTCATAATTAGCCCTACAATACAACTAGCCACCATGGTGAGAACAATGAGTTTGTCTCTGTTTTTCACACTCCAGTCGTCTTGCTTCCTTGCTTCAGAACTTGTGATCATCTGAAGAAGGAACTTGATATTTTTAGCATGAAGAAAAGAGAAGCACCATGGCTGATGTGCTGTTACCCAGAAGGAGATCAAGCCTTGTTTTCTGTTGCCCTGGAAGGTAGACTTTGATCTAATGGACTTAAATTACAGGAAGGCAGAGTTCATCTGAAGTTCAGGCGAAACTGTTTGACTTAAAGTGGAGTTTAACAAGGGGACAAACCTCATAGAAAGTTGGGCCTTCCTTAAAACATATTCATTGAGGGATATTCTGGATGCCTGCATTCTACAATGTTCATCAAAAGCCGATTGGAACGTGGCCTAAGATGCAACTATATTCCATACAGCCTTTATGTTTAGCATTTCTCCTCCATTTTTCCCCATTAGATCCTAGTGGTTTTTCTCATCCAGATGGAACGGATGAAAGGCATCCAGTCTTCAGGCATTTTGATGGTCTTTTGGCTGCTGTCTCTCTTCTCTTCTCTTCTCTCCTTCAGCTTCAAAATGCACCATGCTCTGAAAGGGGTAAGTCTGAGTCTATCAGCCTTGTGAGGTAGTCCAGACAAGAAGCACATCCAGAAGTATGAACTCTATCTTAATTAGCAGAAACTTGAAAGTCTGAAAATACATCCCTCCCCCCTCACCTTTACAGACCAAGAAACTAGACAGAGTCCCTTCTGAAACATTTGCCACACCCCCATTCCTTCTGCGGGCTCAGCTGACGCTTATCTGACCATTGCCTAGTCTGTGACTGTTCCTCCTGTCTCCCAAGGTCATTCCCATAGACCGTTACAGGGTCGCTAACAGTGACATAACCAGTTGGTGGCCATCACAAAAATGAGAATGGAGGCAGCCTTTCTATTTAATTTTTTTTTTTTGGCAGGGATTCAAAGAACAGCCCTTCCATCATCTTTCTTTGTACATTTACTTTGTCTTGGTTTTATCACAACTAGTGCTGTGCTGTTTCACAGATCCATCACCTTTCTTTTCCAAAGTTAGCAATGACTCAGTAAGTAGTTGACCTTTTGGTTTTTTCTTTATTGGGTAGGGGGTCTTTTATCTGTTCAAAGTTATTTTGAATCCAGTATGAATGGATACCGTGGACTGGTTTGAAGATGAATTTTGAAGATTTGATTTAAGAGCCAGCTTCACTTGGCCTGGGGTGGGGAGGGAATACATCCAGCATGGGGATGGCTAGCCCCATAGAGGCCTGCTGTCTTCAGCCCCAGATCCATCAACTTCTTGGATTTTCTCCTTTTTTAGTAATGTTTGTTTAAATTTTTATGTTTTATGTATTTCTATATATTTATGGTTTTAATGTTTTGTGTGAGCCGCCCAGAGTCCCCCACTGGGGGGAGGTGGGCGGGGAGAAATTTAATAAATAAATAAATTTTAATTTCTGTTGAATCTTCTTGGAATGCAAGTCCTGTTGCCTACCATTCCAATAATTTGCTTTCTCCCACTGATTATAGCAATATTATGTATTATGAATTTGAGAGTTGTCCTTTTCTTTAAACATTTGTAGAATCCTTGTCCTGAATCTGGAGCCTCTTTTGTTTCCAAAATCACATTCTGGTGGTTTGCTCGGTAAGAATTCAAACGATATTGCCCGTGGCTTTTAAGTGACAAGTAATTGCTGCTCTGATCCATCTGTTTGATTGGGCAAGATATTTTGCTAAGCATTTTTCTGCTCCCAGTTAAACTGGGCTGCCTTCTGTTCTTAATCAAGGCTGCTCTCAGAAGCAAATGTCATTATGGGATGTTGACAGTAATATTATGCCTCTGCAGAGAAGCAATTGCAGAGCAATCTGGGGAACAGATGCATTGGATTAAGGAGCTGCAGGAAAAGGTTTTTTTATTTTATTGTATGGCCAAAAGACCCAAATAACAAAGTGCAGATGTAATTAAAAAGTTTGACATAAGATAAAAAAGAGAAATGCTTTGTGTGTACCCCAAAGCACCTTGTGCCTTTGAATCCAAAGCACTTCACAGTCTTGTCCCAGAAACACCAGAGACATCACAGCTTGTAAGGCTTAGAAATAACTAGGGCTGTGCCAAGCCTTGATCTGAAGGCAATTAAGCCAAAAACTTCCTTTGAATCAAATTCCCAAATCCGTCCAATCAGGTGCCTTCCAATCCGTTTGGCTGTTCAGTGGAGTTCCGCTCATGGGTGTGGACACCTGTCACTGAATCAGCCATTCAGATTGACACAACTCATCCAATCAATGATTCAGGGTGGATCTTGGATGATTCTCCTACATCTAGTAACAACTGATCATCAATCAACGTTTATTTACAGTCCAACCATAGATTAATCTATTGCATACCATTTTTCCTCTTCTTTTGATTTGGTTTTTTTGTTCTGTACAGGCTGATTTGGAAAGGCTACTGGACACCGTTACAGCCAGAAGACCTGTGGTCACTAGCAAAAGAGAACTCTTCTGAAGAAATCATTGCCAAGATGAAAGATGCTTGGGATAAACATTGTCCAAGAACTGAACAGTAGGTTCCTTGAGTTTGTGTCTGTTTTTCGTGCTGTCCTATTTATTTAAGAAATCTATGCCCTACCTTTCTGTCATCGCCTTGCACTCAGGATAACAAAAAGCATAATTTTAAACAATATAATCAAAACATAGTGAAAAATATAATTGAGCATAAGACAGCCCACCCCACGAAAGAACAACGGTGAATCCGGTGAATCTTCATGATGTATTCATTTTTTTTGTTGTTTTTTTTAGCTCTTGATTTCTTCTATTCCTATTTTTATTTAAGCCTCTTTTGTGGAGAGGCTTAGCAAAAGGTAAAATACTGAAAATGAAACTCAGAGATGATCACTGCTATGTGTTCACTGCAGAATAACCAAATCTGTGACATTTAAAAGAAGGCAAACAGAGAGAGGAAATGCTGATGAGACTGCCGTCTTGCTTCAACAAGAAGGTAGCAAAAGCAAAGAGCTTCTAAAATCTTTCTGGACTGTCTTTGGAACTTATTTTCTTCTTGGGACCCTCTGTTTGGTCACCTGTGATGTCTTCTTGTTTCTGGTACCAAAGACACTGAGGTATGAGAACATTAAATTTTGTTTCCAAAGGGGGATTACCAAGGTTCTTTGGGGGTCATCTAGTCCTACCTTCTGTTTGGTACAGAGTCTGACCCAGGAAAGTAGCTGCTATCAGAGTAAATAATATTGTCTGAAACAGCCCAATAGTCATGGGGCAGACAGATCTTGGCGAACAGGACCATGTCATCTTCAGTTAAGAGGGTCAAGTAACAGAGGACAGAAAAGATATTTCTCCATTTCGGATCTTAGAGAGCCATTGCCTGTCAGCTGAGCTAGAAATAAACTGCATTCACTAACACAATGAACCTGATGGCTAATTTAACCCATTTCCTTGGGTTTGACCATACACTGAACCATACATAAATATCAAAACTAACCAAGGTTAAACTTAACCAAGTTGTGTAACTTTATGCAGATGCCACTGTTGGGTCTTCAAGAGTTGTGGAAATGCAGCCATAGTCTAATTTGGAAGAAGAGAACTTTTTAAGATCCTAATGGTGTGCCATTGTCCTAAAGGTTTACTTGGTTGTTGCGGCTCTCATTCTGGAATGGGAGAATCACTTTTCTTCTTGTAGTCTTTTCTTAGATTTCATCAATGATCAAGAAGCTCCTTCTTGGATAGGTTATTTCTATGCCGCTGCAATGTTCCTTCTGGCTTGTCTCCAGACACTGTTTGAGCAGCGGTATATGTATATGTGCTTCATACTGGGCATGAGGTTAAAGACAGCCATTACAGGCCTTGTTTATCGGAAGGTAAATCCTGCTTTTTGATGACCATTTTCTTGCTCTGTGGTGCTCCTGTGAATTATATCCAGGCCTTTCCAAAGGGTTCAGTCTCAGAGATCAAAGGATGGAGGAGAATTGGAGGATTGAAGTAGCAAACGATACAGGTTATATGTAGAGAGTAAAGAAGATGACCTTGACAGAGATAGGTGAGATCTGTTACCAAAGCTATGAGGAGAACAACATGTCTTAAGCCGAAAACATGCAGACGGAATGCAGCTCAGACAACTCCTTAATTCACATGAGTACAAGGGGGAGGAGGTAAAGTCCAGACTTGCAAGATTGATATCAGACATACTATGTAGACCCAACCAAGAAATCAACTCCACAGCAAGACTAAAACTACTTTGATGAAGATTGGCTATAATATCAGAAGAGATTCCTATTACAAAGGAGATTTGACTTTTGTCCTGTAGATCTTGGTCCTGTCGAATGCAGCAAAAAAATCAACATCTGTTGGTGAGATTGTCAACTTGGTGTCTGTTGACGTGCAGAAGCTGATGGACCTAGTTATTTATTTTAATGGGACTTGGCTTGCCCCTATCCGAATTATCATCTGCTTTGTCTTCCTTTGGCAGGTAAAAGAACACAGCTCTGGTTACCAAAAGGGAACTTGGAAGGCTCTGTTTTCTCATCAGCATGTAACCTAATTACAGGACTTAAGAGTGGTAGAGATGAATGTTATTGAACCGATTAAGCATTTGAAAGTCCTCCTGTATTAGAATACTGCAGTTGGGTTTCACGTTGCCCTAAAAAGGCCTTCTGAAATAATCCATAACTATGGGGTTTACACAAGGTGCTAAGGCAAATCGTGGTTACAAAAGCCATATCTTGGTGTCATCCATGAATGCAGTCATTTTGTATACATGATGCACAAATCTGGTGGGCTTTTCTTCTTCAGATGCCAAAATAATTTAATCACTCTTGGGTTCTATTCACTTGACCACTAGATGTCTCCATTAGCTTATTAAAAATGGTGTAAAGAGCTGCCAAGGGAACAGACTTGGGTTGTTAATAATCTTTCTCATGAATATTTCAATTCTGATTCCATTTCCTTGGATAGAAAGAGATGCACAAAAATATTCTGTGTTCTGTTCATTTACATACTACTTTTGGTTTCTGCATCCATTAGCTCCTCGGACCATCTGCTTTGACTGCTGTTATTGTATTTTTAGTTCTCTTACCTCTGAACTTTCTGATCAGCAAGAAGAGAAGCCAGCTCCAGGTATGGGGCCTATAACATTTCAGCAGCTTTCTGGAAAATAAATAAATTCAATTTTCATCCTTAGACTGACCTGGCATAACTTGGTCCCTTCCAAATGTGTTGGCCAAGAATTCCCATAAACTGCAACTAAAAGCTATGCTGGTTAAGCATCTTGGGAGTTGTGGTCTTACACAACTGAAGGATTTTTGGGGGAACAGTGAGAACCACAGATTCCCATGTCAGAACATTGTTTCTGTTTAATCGTCGTCTGGTGGGCAGAAGATGAATCAGAAGCTACTAATAGAAGTCATTGCTGGATGCACATCTTTAATTCCATATCTTTTGCTGGTGGATCTTTGGGTTCTAATAAAAAGTCAGTCTTCTGAGCCTGAAGTCGACCAGCTTTGGGTGTGCCCCAATGGGTAGCTTCTATCCAAGCTTTCAGGTAGGCAATTTCTGCTCAGCTATGGCTTCTTGCCAGTGCTTCATGTTTTTCCTTATATATTTACTTACAATATTGTAAACCACCCCAGTCATGCCAGCTGGGGCGATGCAAAACACAGCAACAAGATCTATAAAAAGCAATAGCATAACTTAATAAAATAAGACAAATAAGAACGCCTAATCAACCGAGGTCAAACACATGCTTTGATCTTGAGAGCTTGTGAAACGCAAGAAGGATCAGGGCCAAAGAGAACTGTGTATGTGTAATATTGCAAATGATTAGAATTATTGCTAAGTATAACAATTCCAGTTGTACTGATGGTGCTACATACTTGAACTCCATCTTTCAGGAAGCTCAAATAAAGTATAAGGATAGCCGTGCAAGGCTTACCAGCACTATCCTCAGTGACATGAAGGTCCTCAAACTACATGGCTGGGAGAAGAACTTCATAAGCAAAGTGCTGGGCATCCGAACTCAAGAACTTCAAGTTCTCAAGATGTCTCAGTTCCTCTTCTCTGCCTCTCTCGCATCTTTCCAGTCATCCACCTTTCTGGTGAGCTGTGCAAAGGGGAGTTCTGGTTGACCTCCCCAAAATGTCATATTGTTTTGATACTGTTTCACCTCTTTTCTCATTGCTTCTCTACAGATTTCATTCATCATCTTTGCAGTCTACACATTGTCAGATAGGACAAATGTCTTGGATGCTAAGAAAGCTTTTGTTTCTCTCACCTTGGTCAACATTCTCAATACTGCTCATTCCTTCATTCCATTTTCCATTAATGCTGTTGTGCAGGTGAGTTGCTTTGGCTACATTGCATAAATGGAAGTGGTGTTAATCGTTCCATGCAATCCAATTCTGCATTTCCAAATGGTCTTCCTATTAGGCAATTGCTTCAAACATTTTGACACCTCCAAAGAAACCATCTTGCTCTTTTTCCTTGGTCATCTCCCTGATGGTTTGCCTGAAGATAACAGAACAAAGGCAGGAGGATCTAGGACCACCGTCCAAAAGGAATTAAAAGCTTCAGTGCACCTTGATTTTCTTCTAGACCAGGGGCCTCCAAACTCTTCAGTTCATCAACCCCTTTATAAAGTTTCAGATTGCTCATCAATCCCCAAACATTTATTATATGAAAATAATTTAATAAATACTACTTTAACTAATAGTACTACAAACAACAATGTAATAACAATAATAGATAAAGAAGGCTGGTAACAAGACACAGCTGATAGAGACAACTTCAGGCCATTCTCGCTGGCAGCTGACCATCCAGTCCTGGGTAACACTGTCTCACCACTGGCCACTCCACCTTCAGGACTAGGGACTGGCATGGAGCTCTACAGAGATCCCAAAAGATTAATTGACCCCAATCAACCTTCCATCATTTATCCACCACCTATTGACCCCCAGACATTTACTGTCCCCCTGTTGACCCCCAACCATTTATTGACTACTTGGATAGTCCCATCAACTATGTCCAAACTTTCCCTTAATTGCATGGTGTCAACATGTATTTTGTCCTAGGCAAAAGTTTCCATCAATCGCTTAGCTACCTTTCTTTCTCTTGAAGAATTGGATCAAACTCAGGTGGACATTGATTCTTCAGACCACAGTAAGTACTGGCTTTGTGTATCCTCTACATGGGTGGTCTTCAACTCCTAGAATTTCCCAACCAGCATAAACATTATTGATTATTTTAGGAATTTAAACCCTGCACATCTAGAGCTCATGCAGGTTGGATGGGACCAGATTAGTCACTGCAATCTCTAATCTAGCCTTTGTGAACAGATGTGAAAGATTGTTAGGAGGCTGGGAAAGGAATGGGAGACCAGTTATAAACAAGAGATAACAGGTCAGTTGGTTGACATCTTATCTCATAAACAACGACTTTGTCCAGGGGGAAGAGAAATCTGAGAAGAAGTGTTTTAAATCATTCCAATTGTAATGGGGTGTGGGAATGACCTTGAGCTAGAGAAGAAAGAGCCACGGCCAGGACAGCATTTGGATAAGAGGCAGATAAGCCCACAGAAGGAATGGCTGCAAGACAAACATCTCAGAAGGGACCCTCCCTTATTTCTTGGACTGTAAAGGCAAAAGGGGAGAGATGTACTTTCAGACTGGCAAGGTTCTCTAATGCAACCTTCCAATAAAGATAGAGCTAGTATTTTGGGGTGTGCTTCTTGGCTGGGCTTTCTCACAAGGCTGACACAATCAATCCATCTCCCTATAAATAAGGCTGGGAGATTCCTCTTAAAGTTTCCACGATTCTGTATATCTAATAACATTAAAATCACTTTACTCAAATCTTTATACTGTAGATCTTGCTTCCTTGTTTTTGCCCAGCTGTGTGTGGCTTGACAATATGTCCTCAAAGTGTCTGGAAAACACATCTCCATGCTGGTTGGGAAATATTTTACGGGCCATGCATGTTATTTAATTGACTAGGACAGTGTTTCTCAAACTTGGTAACTTTAAGATGTGTGGACTTCAACTCCCAGAATTCCCCAGCCAGCATGCT